CCAAAACAATAATACAGCAATGTACTTTTCTGTGTATTACACATCAACTATCCTAGCATAGTATAATAAATGTGAAATTACGCTTATCATAAATAATCCTTTGTGGAATATCCTTATTATTTGATTGATATTGATGAGGAATTTGTTGATGTTGCTCTCTCAGTTGTCATCAAACTGGGGTTGGATTACACTCAAGTTCTCGTAATTCAATCGGTCAAAGGACAAATAGGTCTGAAAGAGAAATAAAAAGAAAGCAAAGAAATAGGAGCCTTTTGTTTATACAAATTATGCTTGCGCAACTTGATTGCTACTTTCACTTTTAAGTCCACAATTTGAAAGCTTTTGAAACTTGGAGGGTTCAAGGCTACTAAAATCAAGCTAGTTATCCGCAATGTCTGTCACTTCCAAGTACAGTTTGTTTTGCGGCGATTCAAGACTAATCTCTAAAACGACTGGTGCTATTTCTTATCTTACATGCTTAATTTTGCTGTCATTCATTTCATTTAGGATGGAGACCAGGTTAGTGAAGGTCGGTCGGTTTTTTGGATCCTCCTCCCAGCATTTGCGCATGAGGGTGTAACTAGGAATTAAAAATTAGAAAAAGAAGTTACTGAAGATTGGTCTTTCGCTCAGATCGTCTTTAAGGAGTAAGAAACAAGAACAAAGAAATGAACTGAGCTGAAAACTGATTACTGGCTTGTATAGATCATCAATTCAACAACCTCTCTTCAGCTCAGCCAAACCACAGACATGATAATCAAATTCTATAACAGTGAAGGCTTCATCCTTGTTTAATTGATGCGTGCAGGGCCTGATTTGGCGTTTGGACCTTTTGACTGAATTAGTGCTGTGCAAAATATTTTAACAATTTTTGCTATATTTGCTTGGTAACCGTATTCAATAATGTTATAATGTCTGAAAGAAATTTAAATCAATCGATGATGATCGGGTGATGTAATACGTAACCAATCCCTTCAGGTCTAGAAGCCATTAAAATTAAACAGCCAATGGGTTGTCAGTCAATCAACAGAAAGTGACTAGGACTTGACGTGAATATACATTAAACTTGTTCACAGAAGCCAATCAAGCTAAATCCAAATCTTACCTTTTCTCGTCACAGTTCTCCGGTTTTGGCATACGATATCCCCTCTTCAGCTTCTCGGGTAGCAACTCGCTACGAATGTTTGGATACGGGGTTCCCCCTAGAGAAATTTGAATTAAAAACAACAAAAATTTAAATCCGTGCCACAACAGAAAAGTCACTGTTTCATGTTCAACATGAGATGTCGACAGAATTTGCCAAGGAAATGGTTCCAGAAAGCTACCACATTTGTTCAGTATGCAGTTCCAGTTAAGTATTGGGAAAAACTAAAGGAAAATTATAGTATCATATTAAAAAATGTATGTAGTAAGCGAAGATATGTTTCTTACCTAGTGTGGCTATTTCCCACAGAACAATCCCAAACGACCACCTGATGATGACAAATATTAATCACAGAGGGATTGAGAGTGAGACATTAAAAAGAAACTCTAAAACTGATTATACTTGCAAAGAATACTGGCAATGTGCTCACGCTGTCCCTTTCAGTCATCCGGTTTCTTCGAGAGTCAAGCATAGTAAAGGCAAATAAACTTGTTCCTTAAACTTACACGTCACTCTTGATGGTGTATTTCTTGTATCTGAGTGACTCGATGGCCGACCAACGCACAGGAACTCGTCTCTATAAAATGGAATTAATTCAATACAAATATAGCAGTCTACTACAGCTTAGTGATAAAACTGGGTCTTACTAAAGGGCCAATAGACCTAATTCACGGAGGAATTCCATTCTACGCCCCTCATTCATTTTGTTTAAATGAGGCTTAAAACTTTATCAAAAATAATTCCATTTGTGCCCTTAAAGAAGTGAAACTGTTTATTATATCTACATGCAAATGCTTGTTTCACTTGTTTTATTTTTATTCTTAAGTGCTAAAATAAGTAAGGTAATCTTGCTTTCAATTTAGTATGGCCCAATTGTGAGCAAGGTTCAAAATTGCATAAGAAAACGAGATTCTAAATGGAAGTGTCTTAGTTATTGTTAATAGCCAAATTACCGTTGATGTTTGGACGTAGATATCCTCTCCTCTGGACAGTCCAAAGTCAGAGACCTTAGCAATCAGCCCTTTGCCTAGAAGGATATTTCTGGCAGCCAAATCTCGGTGGATCACCTATGGTTTATGGAACACAATAAACAACATTGCTTAGAGGGCAATAATTGAAGGGAAGTATTTTTTATGTTCCTTGAAACAATGGATCTCGTTTAAAATATTTCTCAACTATGGTATAAAGAGCAATGATGATTCGAAAGATCACTACGATCA